CTGAATTTTGGGACGATAACTCTTCTTCCTAAGAAGACAGAGGCTGTTCGCATTGAGCAGTTCAGACCTATATGTCTGCTTAATGTGAGTTTCAAAATATTCACCAAGGTCGGGACAAATAGGCTTACATAGATCGCACACTCAGTAGTTCAGCCGTCCCAGACTGCTTTCATGCCTGATAGAAACATCCTGGAAGGGGTTGTTGTCTTGCATGAAACGCTCCATGAAATCCACTCCAAAAAACTTGATGGCGTAGTTTTTAAAGTGGATTTTGAAAAAGCATATGATAAAGTCAAATGGCCTTTCCTTCAACAAGCTTTGCGTATGAAAGGTTTTGATCCGGCCTGGAGAGACCAGATTGATTCCTTTACGCAAAAAGGGAGTGTCGGGATTAAGGTGAATGATGACGTGGGTCACTATTTCCAAACACACAAGGGGCTACGGCAAGGCGACCCTATGTCACCGATCCTGTTTAACATAGTGGCTGATATGCTCACTATTTTAATAGGTCAGGCAAAGGATGCAGGGCAGGTAGGTGGCCTGGTTCCACATCTAGTTGACGGCGGGATTTCCATTCTTCAGTATGCTGATGATACTATCATCTTTATGGAGCATGACTTGCCGAAAGCAAGAAACATGAAGCTGCTGTTATGCTTATTTGAACAATTGTCTGGGCTCAAAATCAACTTCCACAAGAGCGAATTGTTTTGCTTTGGAAGAGCCAATGATGACCGGGAGTCGTATCAACAATTGTTCGGATGTGAACTGGGCTCATTACCGTTTACGTACTTAGGTATGCCCATTCATCATCGTAAGCTAACTAATATTGAGTGGAAATGCATTGAGGATCGTTTTGAAAAGAAACTGAGCTGTTGGAAAGGAAAGCTCATGTCATACGGAGGTCGATTGATTCTGATTAATTCGGTCCTTACTAGTATGCCTATGTTTTTCTTGTCCTTTTTCTTGGTTCCGGTCGGAGTTAGGAAAAGGTTAGATTTCTATCGATCTCGATTCTTTTGGCAAATTGATGAGCTTAAACGAAAGTATAGACTTGCGAAGTGGGATATAATCTGTAGACCTAAGGACCAAGGTGGCCTAGGTATTGAAAATCTGGAAGTTAAAAACATATGTCTCCTTAGCAAGTGGCTTTTTAAGCTGTCATCTGAGACGGAGGCCACCTGGGCTCAGATTTTGCGCAATAAGTATCTCTATACTAAAACCTTGGCTCAGGTGAATGTGAGGCCTTCCGACTCTCCCTTTTGGAAGGGTTTGATGAGAGTTAAACAACTCTTTTTCAACAAGACTAAATTTATTGTTGGGAATGGTACCACTACGAGGTTTTGGGAGGATACGTGACTTGGGGAGACCCCCCTTGCACTTCAATATCCTTCTTTGTACAACATTGTCCGACGTAGAGAAGCCTACGTTGCTACTGTTTTACAATCTGTTCCCCTCAATATCAGTTTTAGACGGACGCTTGTTGGAAATCGTTGGGAGGCCTGGCTCCATCTTGTTAGACGTTTAATGGATGTCCGGTTGTCTCAACAGCCAGATCAGCTGCATTGGAAACTTACTAAGAACGGTGTGTTCTCGGTCAAATCAATGTATCTGGATGTCATTAACTCTAGCGTCATCCCTACCTCGTTACATGTTTGGAAAGTTAAGGTACCCTTACGTATCAAAGTGTTTATGTGGTTTGTGCATAAACAAGTCATTTTGACTAAGGATAACCTTGCAAAACGTAATTGGGTGGGCTCGTCTAGATGTAGCTTTTGTGATCATAACGAAAACATCAAACACCTCTTTCTCGATTGTCCGTTGGCTAAGATTCTGTGGCGGTCGGTTCATATTACGTTTAATATCAATCAGCCCACATCTATTAGCATGTTATTTGGAACATGGCTCGATGGGGTGGATTCTGACACTGCAAGACACATTCGAGTTGGCGTTTGTTCACTTTTGTGGGCAATATGGAACTACAGAAATGACTTAGTCTTTAACAGATCAACAACTATTCACTTTTTGCAGGTTATCTTCAGGGCCATGGCGTTCATCCGTATGTGGTCGCTACTCACTCAGACGGAGGCCAGGGAGCATTTGGTTACTGCGTCTACCCGATGGGAGATGGTAGCTCGGGATATTTTCAACCGGTTTCGATGGCGGTCATGTAATAGGATAGACATGTAGTGATCCTATTGTTTTGCCAGCCGGTTGTGGCTTTGGGCCTTTCCTCTTTAGAGCTTTTGTTTATGTTTGTACTATGACTTTTCAAGACTTTGCTACTAGACTATCCTGTTAATAATATGAGCCGTATGCATCTTTCTGATGCAGAGGCTGGGGTACATCCCCTTTTCCAAAAAAAATAAAAAATAAAAATCTCCGGACGCCCTGTCTTGTTCAGGAGATTCGGGATCAGAGACGAGGATGTCGGTCTCCTCTCTCCTCTCCTCAGCAGCAAAGCAGAATACTGGACAGTTTTGATGTACAATCAAACAGGACATATATACTTGTGACCTGCCGTATTTACTCTCTCCAAATGAACTTTATCAGAAAGCCACCAAATGAACTTAGGTTCAGCTTCTTTTGGTCCTTACGGCTTTCTATTTCTGCATTTGGACCAAATATATGCCCAACAACAACATACATGGTGATGGCGGACTCTGTCACAGGAAAACAGAAAGCCATCAAATCTGAATTCATGAGAACAAACTCATGTGCATTCAGGCCAAACTTATTACAACCACTTCATCAACTTCAGTAGACAAGTCCCCATATCCGTACTTGTGTGGCACGCCCATAACCTGAGCATCCACCATTAGCGCATCCGAAATTGATAACACAATGTCCAAAGGCTCAACAAGACAGCCGAGCTGTCGAAGCTACAGCTAGTTAAAACACCAACCTGAGCAAGATTAACCCAGTCAAGGCACCAACAGCCCCCGTCGACTTCTTTGGCGAAAGACAACGATTGCCACCAGCAATGACAACCTCGCACGCAGACGCTGTTTGTTTCGTAGGCCTCGTTTCTGCAAACCAGTCCAGAAGAGAACCAAGGTAGCAATTGAAAAACCATATTATCCTCATTTATCTCAAGAATATCACTGCCTAACTCCACCCCAGTTCTACTAGCCACATCCCTGGGAGAAGCATTGGAAGAATATAAGATAATTGGAGTCTGTAAATTACCTTGGTGCAGTCTTCCATCTGCTGACCCTCTAAACCTGCCATTCCTTCCATCTCCTCTTTAAAACCTCCCTTGTTCATCTTATATACCACGTGCGCGCTCAGACCATGTTTCTTAGCAAAATATTTTGCGAAATTGCTTCACGGACGACAGTTCGTGCACGACCTCCGAACGATTGTAACTCCCCAGCTGCGCTCCTGCATGCTCCCTTGCTGTTCACGCTGCCACGTAAGAATCGTGCAGGCATCGGCTGCACATTCGTCGTGTGTATAGCAGCGCTGAATATTTTGCATCCTTGGTGTTAGCAAACTATTTTCCTTGTTCATCATCATGTTGACCACCATCAACTTGTACTGCACAATGGAAATTGTCAGATGCATGCGTGAAGAGGGAGTATATATAACTCAACACCAATATTGGATCAAAGTACTAGCAATTAAGCAACAAAAGATGCATATCACTTTATTACCAGACTCACGAGTAGAAATTGCATTGGGAAATGGCAAAAACCAGCTGCATACTCTAGTTCTGCAAATGCTGCAGGTAATGGGTAGAATCAAGCATAAGAAGATAAGATGGTCACACAATTTCATAATAAACAGAGTTTGGCCCCTCCTCCTTTTTCCGGGCTTGGGACCGGCTATGCAACATGAAGCGTACCATCATCTTAGCATAGGCGGAGTTACACCCCCACTCCACACACACCCATATATACATCGAACCCCACTAAACCAAAAACCAAAACCCAAAGAACAAGACACACAAACACGCATAAGCCTGATCTCCAAAACCAAGACCCAAGATACAAACCCAAACGACACACACCAAAAAAATAGTAATGAAACCCGAAGACCCTCTTTTAATTTATTTTTTCCCGAGTGAACATGAAAGAATACTCGACCCTAAAAAAAGTGTGATTTTCATTCTCCGTTACTACAAAAGGCAGAGAAACATTTTGCGATTTTCAAGCACTTTTTTTTGTAATTTTTTCATATGCTAACAAAAGAAAAGATAGCAAACAAACAGGCATTTTTTTGTAATTTTCCATTTGCTAAAATAAAGAAAACATAATAAAAAAACATTTCTTTTTGTTTTTTGCGGTATCATTTTCCATTTCATGAAAAGATAGTAAGATAATTCGATTTTTTTGTGTTTTTTTCTTTGCTTCGGACGACAATAAATAGAGCAAACAAACGGAAGCCTCCCGATATCTTTTCTTTCTCGGCGGTGATTTGTGAACACCACTGCCAGCCTGCATATATGGAGTAACTCTCAGTAAATGTATACTTGGAGTATTAATGGTTACTGTTTAAAATGATGGGAGAGATATATGTATCGTGCACGCAAATTGGTAATCGACTTTTTTTACAGTTGACTGGCAACTGCTGTTATTAATTCTAGAAAGAAAAACACAGATAAGGTGTACACATAGAGAGGGAGGTACGTACCGCAGGTGAACATGCACTGCAAGCTTAGCTCAATCTGTTTGTCAATCTGGCAAAAAAAAAGAGGGGCGGAGATACTACGTGGCTAGCTGCCTGTGGAGATCAGCACTAACGAATAAATAAATAGTACACTTAGTTACCTCCGACTCCAGTCCTTTATGTCCATTGTGCTGATATAAGGACTGACACGGTTGGGAAGCGTATCAATTGCACGTTTCACCATTTTGCTAGCCTTTTTATAGTCCGCAGGAGGGGCATATAAAGTGACTGTGACATGCTGAAGCAAAGGGAGGTTCCCTAGGCTACCAAAGTCAAAGTCAAAGCTAATGCCATCATCATTGGACTGTGCTATGACGCTGAACTCAAGAAATTCAAGGACCGGCATATCCTCCTCTTGAAACGAGCCAAGGGTTGCTGGTGTTGTTGAAAACCCTCAGCTTGGGGAATGCACCTGCACCGCCCATGGTGTCATGGTGGAGAGCTGACCACGTGTTCAGCTCAAGAGAAACAAGCTCGTGGAAACTTCCAAAGACCTCCAGATCTGGGTTGTATATAAACAATTTTAATTGGGATAGGTTCGGAAGAAGCCTGGGATTGATCCTTGCCATCAGCCTAGGTTCATCGTAGCACATGTGTAGAACACGGAGTTGTGGAGAGAGGACATACTGTTCCCAGGGTTTCTCTTCATCACTAGGATCTCTCCGCCCGTAAACTGAGTGAATGTCTATGACTTGGATCTTGCTGAGTTTGGCTACAGACTCTGCCCAACTATTCATTCTACTATCATCACCATATAAATATACACTTCCAGAAATGCGGAGCTTCCTCAACGCTGTCAACTTGCCCAGTTCTGTCACAAAGTTGGAGCGCACACCAACTTGTCCTAGGCATAGCTCTTCCAGAGATGTCAAATTCCCGATCCAGCATGGCACTTCAATCTCTGTTTCACACATGTTCAAGCACTTTAGTTGACTTAGTCCACCAATACTCTCTGGAAGTTCACTTATGCTATTTCTACCCAAGTCCAATACCAGCAAGAACTTCAGATGTCCTATTTCCTTTGGGAGCTCACGGATACCCATGCTCTCTAATTTGAGGTGCCTCAAGTGAACTAACTTTCCAACATGCTCAAGATAATTAGGATTGTGCGAACCAAGGGGGTCTTCCAAAGCTAGGACACGCAAAACTTCAAAGCATGAAAGTGACGGCAACATCTCAGCATCGCAAATGGCATTAAGTGACCTTGTTTGTAATGTTGACGTGCTAGCCAGAGGTTGGACTACATGTTGAACAGCTAGCCTACGAGCGTTGCAATGTGAAGTTGTATATTGCTCATCACTGTCCAACACAGTAATAAAGTTTTCTTCCTTCGACAAAAGACATATCATATCAAGTATCATGTCATGGACACGACACCAAGTTACGATGCCAACACCCATTTTTATGCTAAGATACTGGGGCTGCTCTACCGGCATTATCATGCTTTTGTTTACCAACTCGTTGAAGTACCTCTCACCAATCTCGAATAGTCCTACCCCTGGTTCCACATGGATAAAACCTTCGGCGACCCACTTCCATATCAATCTATCTTTTTCAATCAGATGATCTTCAGGATATATGCTCAGATACAATAAGCAAGTCTTTAGGTGACAAGGTAGATCATAATAGCTAAATAAAAGTATTTTTCTCGTGTTCTCCACATCTTCGTTTTCTTCATGCCCAAAACCAATTGAAGTGTACACCTTAGACCAAAACTCCACAGGTTTGCCGACAAGCAAACTAGCTATTGTGATTATAGCTAATGGTACACCACCACATTTATGTAGAATTTTATCTACCTCTGCTCGCAGATGATCAAGCCGTTTTATTTCACCACCAGATAATCTTCTATGAAATAAATCCTCGGATAAATCAGGAGAAAGTGGTTGTAACCTATATACTTCACCGGTCGTTGTGGCAACTTCGAGTATACGAGTAGTTGTAATTATTTTGCTTCCACAATTATTATGCACCAAAGCGAGCTTGACTATTTTCCATGTTTCTATATCCCATATGTCATCAATAATGATTAAGTACCTGCCATTGACATTCATTCATAAATTAGTGAAACTATTTTGTATGGCGCCTAAGTATATAAAATATCTAAAAAGAAGAAGACGTATGAAAGTCAGCCTCCTCGTTAAGGAATCTAAATTTGAAATAATTTAGTTAGGAATAAGGAAAACTGCATGAGACATATGCGAGTTTTATTTCATTTTATCATTGACAAATCAAACATCTCATATTAAAGAATTTTATGTATTACATATTTTTTATTCATGGTTATTTTACGAAGTTCTAAAATTTATATCATGGTAGAACGGTTGATGGTAACTAGCTATTGACCCAAATGATAGAAAACAAGTTAAGGAAACATGACATTTTATTGCTCGTCTCAAACTCACTTTTCTTATGTTTGGTGCTAATTTTATCATGTACTAACTTTATGAATTTGAAATTACATAATAGGGTGGGTACCTTTTGTTCTCGATTAATCCTCGGAGTTTGTTGATTAGCTCTCTTTCATCCAATTCCAAGTTCTTTTGCCCAACAAGTTCGAAGAGTATGTCATTGAGAAGTTTCTTCACGCTAGGGTTCCGTCCTACTGGAACAAAAGCACTGCAATCAAACTGTGCTTGGCACTTATCGTACAATGCTTTGGCAAGAGTTGTCTTGCCAAGGCCTCCGAATCCAAAAACAGAGAGTATCTGGAGTTGCTTGGACACATCACCGTCCTCGTTACTCAACTTCTTTGTTAGCTCATTCAATGAATCATCAACGCCAACAAGCTCTTTCCGGTCCTTGTACAGAGCCGATAGGCGAGGGTCAACCATGAGTGGGCCAGCTAGATTAGGAACCACATCATTGACCTTGTACTGGTCACGCCGGGCAGCCACCTTCTCGACACGGGCTTTGATCTCTTTAATATCGGCGCCGATGGCATGGCGTGCCATGAGCTCAGTGAACAAGTCACTCATCTTCTTCCTGAGCCGTTTGAGCTTGCGCGGCTTGACGGCAGGTTTGGTGCCCATGAGCTGCACCAGGTACTTATCGATGATATCTTCTATTTTGTATGAAAGGTCTCTGACCTCGTTTGCCCAGAGCTTGACTTGCTCATCGAGCTGGTCCCGTGGCACGTCCCCAACCTTGCGGAGGGCAACTTGCATGCTCTCCAGCTCTCTATTGAGATCTTTGACGTCTTCCTTGACTCTAGTCTGTAGTTTGTACTCCTCCTTGAGGATTTCGCCGAGCTTGAGGATCAGGCTTCCCATGGCACCTGTTGCGTGGTCCGTAGCTCGCACTGAGCAGATGGGTTTTTGGGTGTAAAAATGCTTCCTTTCCTTTTGTGATGAGGGGATGAGTGGCTAGCTAGACTCTTTATAGATAGGAATGGGATAGTACAGACTACATATGGATAAGCCAGCTCCTCTTAATTTGTGTGGTTACTGTGCAAGTGTCGACATTCCAAGACTATTCAACACGAAGTTTCTATATTTAAGAATATTCATCCGGGGAAAGTTCATGGTAGTTGCTGGAATTTGTGTGGACGCCATTTAAGGGCCTCTTTTGCTCAAAAGGTCTATTTTCACATCTAAATCACTGCCATACAATGTGCAGGGAAGTGGGATTCAGACACTCAGAATTTGTGCTTGAGATTCAGTCCAAGACTTGTATTCACTTCTGAAGTATGTTCACTCAGGAAACATCCAAACATTCAGTACAGACAACAAAGGCAGACCAAGCATTCAACGTCAACGTTCAACAACGCCAATACTCATCCACGGGACCACAAGCAGACACTGATGGCTTCTGTATAATTTACTCCTTTGCCAAGGAAATTCAAAGAAATACCCTTCTCAGTTTTTGGAAATTCAGAATTGTGCACCATTTCCTTAAAATTCTTGAGTATACACCTGGGAGAGATCAGCCAAATCAGCAGTCGCAAGGCTACTATCAGCCATTCATCAGTGGCTACTATCAACCTTCAACTGACTACGCCATTCGTTGGAGCGTCTCAGCGACGGTGCCAAAGACAAGGTTACCACGGGTACATGATGAGAGCACAGCGATGGGATAGTCACGGCCCCAAAGCAACGGAGGAGAACTTGACTGAACACGGATGTGCCTCCACAAGCGGGTACCGATGGCTGCTATACAGTTTACCCCTTGGCTCAATGTTTGAAATTCAGAAAGTGTATCTTTCTCTTTGTTTTGAAGTTCAGAAGAGTGTTTTTCGTTCAACTTATCTAGTGTACTTTTGGAATAAAATTACCTGATTCGCAGCCACCTTTTGATTTCATTTTTGTAGAGCTGGCTCGTACGCACATAAGTTGTACTCCCTCCGTCTGGAAATACTTGTCATCAAAATGAATAAAAGGGGATGTATCTAGACGTATTTTAGTTCTAGATACATCCTTTTTTGTCCATTTTGATGACAAGTTTTTCCGGACGGATGGAGTACTTAACAATGCAGCATATACATATGAACAGATGTCACCACACCTGTGTAGTTAGATAACCCAGGCATCTCAAAATGATCACACTCGTCTTCCGTATGTAAGGAATATTGTTTTGTATAGTTGCTTGCAAGTTGAAGATACTGACGTTTCACTAAGTTACAAATTTGAAGGCTTGTGCAGACCAAGGTTCGAATTAGGATTTCTTTGGCCAGCTGTAAGAAAAATCAACAATCTGAATTCCAAAAGTATGGTAGATAGAAAAAAAGGAAAAAAAATGATGTGACAGAAGTCACATGAATTTCGACGTTCGTAAGCACTGGTCTATGGTCCACACCACGCACGGCTGGAACGCAGAGCCAGCCCCCCACACGTGTGGGAACTGGAGGTTTTTTTTTTGCCTACCTACATCTAGATTTTTTGGTGCGCAGCCAGATAAAGGTGGAACAAAAGAAGAACGAAATATGTATATGGCAACCGTGTGCCAGATTGCAAAACTGCCACACGCCTCCCGATCTCCTTCTTTTTCCGCACGTCCTCCCTGACCTCCTTCCCGATTTCTTTCCTTTCCTGCACGCCTCCCGATCTCCTTCCTTTCCACCCGCTCGTGACTTCCTAATTTTTGTAATCGTCAATTATGGCCTCACGCGACTTTCTAATTTTCGGGCAAAAATAATGCTTGAACTAGGATTTGATCTCTGGCTTGCAGGTAATCAACAAAGGGAACTAACCACCTCACCTATGACACTGATTGTTGAACAAGCTAAGGGGAATACTGTTTTTGACATGTTTTTGCCTTTAATATGTTAGCACTGATTTTTTTTGTTTCAAGCATCGTGGTAACTTTGATCATTGGGAATAAATTTGTTGAACCCGCCCCTCGGTAATTTTTGTAAATGGCGCGATAACATTCACGCTATAGACCTGATAATTTAGATACAAACATCGTGGTAACTTTAGCCATTGGGGAAGATAAATGTGAAAAGATACCCGATAATTTATGTGTAAATAGATGGTAATATACACAGCGCACATCTGATAATTGAGGTAGAAACACCATGGTAACTTTGACCGTAGGGATTTTTTTTTGAAAAGATACTCTGATATCTTCTGTGTAAATAGCACGGTAGTATACCTCCCCCCCTGGCATTTTTATGTGTAAATAGCATGAAAATATATGCACTGCGATAACTAAACACCATGATAAGTTTCTGACCCGTGGGGGAGAATTTGCTGAAACATACCCCTGATAAATTTTATGTAAATAACATGATATTTTAAGCACTACGGACTTGATAAGTTACCTAGAATCACCATGATAACTTTTTCTCACAGGAAAAAGTTGTTCAAAACATCCCCAATAATTTTCGTGTAAATAACATGATAATATAAGCACCGCATAACCGATAACTTGCAATATAAACATGATGGTAACTTTTTTTACCAAAGGAAAATAAGTTGTTAAAGACATACACTCGCCTCGCGCGTGGACCTCTTGGATGAACACAACACATGGCGTGCCACGAGAAAGTGACATAATGTTTAGTGTCATGAGGGGCACACGTGCTATAGGCGTGATAAGTTACGCAAAAACATCATGGTAATTTTTGACCTATGGAAAATGCTACCGAAACATACCCAGGTTTTTAGGTGCAAGTATCATGATAATATACGAACTGTAGACCCGGTAACTTATGTACAATCCCCCATGGTAACTTTGACCAGGGGGAGGTTGATGTACATATACCCTGATAACTTATGTGTAAGTACCACGGTATTTTACACATCGAAAACCTTCTAACTTGTGTATAAAATACATTGGTGACTTTGAAGGGGTGTAGTTGTTGAAGCATAATACCTGGTACGTTCTATGTAAATAGTATGGTAAGTTACGCAACACAGGCCTGATAACTTGCATACGAATATCATGGTAACTTTGTCCTGAGGAGAAATCATGTGGTAGACATGAAGAAGTGACAGTTTTCTCGGGGGTGGGCGCGCGAGATGTGCGGGAGAAACATGTTTCTCGGGCGAGCCTCCGGGGTCATTTGGTAGGAGGCGAGGTCAAAGGACGGGGGATCGTGTGATACTTTAAAATGAAAGAAGTAGAGGTGTGGCAGTTTTGCTTATATGGCACACGTGTGCCAAATATCACAGTCCAAAGAAGAATATTAAGTTTCATGTAATGAGAGGGAGTATCTGTGTATCTAGATTACATGAAGTTTTCTCCTTTTTCAGAAGCAACTGTCTGGGTCATATGGACAGTCGGCAAGCAGCCATGCATTTGAACAATTTTTGTAGATTAGAAGAGCGATCTTCGCACAGCCCGGAGAATTAAATATCGGCCTGGCCGGGCCGTCGCTGGTCCTATACAAGTGGGATATACTGGAATCTACAGCTAGCTCAGATTGCCGTGTGAAACATGCAACGCAGCCAACCGCAGATCGGTATGCACATAGCCCCAACACGCATATATGACTACTTGACCGTACGTAACTGTCTCATGCATACCCTACAAGCAGGCACGCGTTCTCTTCTTTGCCCACGCCCGATCTCTTCTTTGCCATGTACTCTTTCGACATGGTTAATATCTTTTCGTGGAAAAAGAATACACAGGTGGAAACTAGCTTGTTTTATATGTAGCCAAGCGGCAAATCTTAGC